CACAAACAACAAGAAGGGTGATGCAGACAGCAGCAGCAGTATCAGCAGTTCTGTGTGGGTGCGTGTACCACTACTGATTGTGGTTACACTGGCCTGTATTCTTGTGTGCTGATTGTGATGGTGGTGTGGTGTGACTCAGGTCATCCTTTGTTTTCTTCTTTTTTGCATGCATCCACACTACAGTCTAACTAATCTTCCACCTGTTGGGATTTTCTTCTTTTTTAATGTTAATGTGTTTTGTGTGTGTTTTTGCTCTCTCTGTGTGTTTATCCTATAATTATTATTATTGCTACTCCATTGTGTGTGTGTGTGTGTGTGTGTTCTTGGAGACTCACTGTATGTGCCTGGGCTTACACTGTGATGATAATGATGATGATGAACTGTTTTTTTGTAGTGGAAAAAGAAATAATAATAACAGATGAATTTATATTTATAATTGCGTAAATATATACACATATAGACTTATACCCATAGTTGGTGTGTATTTCTGTGTTTATTAGGTAAATTGGGCTAATAATCAATATATATGTTTCTTTGTTTGTTTGCTTGTGGTTTGCTGTGTCATTGTGTGCTTTTGACCTTCACGGTTTTTGGTAATCAGTTTTATGAGAGCAAGTAAAAAAAATAGTAATTAATACAATTTATATTCGTAATTACTTGAACACACCAGCATACCCAGTGGTCTGTGAATTATTTTTGTGCAGTTGGTCCTCTTCTTAATTTGTGTTTTTTTTTGGGGGGTGCACTCTGTGCTTTCACCTGCATTGTTGTGTATTGGAGTGTTTTGTGGGGAGAAAAAATAATAGATAATACATAAGTATATTTGTAATTGTGCTTGGTCCTACAGGAAGAGGCATTTTGATTTATTTCTGTGCTGTCTACTTTTAATGGTCGTTCTCTTTAATTTATTTTTCTTTTGAGGGTTTAGTTGGGATTATCTGTTTGTTATTGGGTACTGTGTGTGTTTTTACTTTAATTTGGGTACTATCTGAGTTATGGTTGCACCTTTATTCATATGTGTGTGCTTCTGCTTTAATTGTTACCTGTTCTTTGATTTGGTGTGTGTTTTTTTATTTTCTTGTTTCCATTGATTCACTTTGTTTCGGTTTTGTTTTTTTCTGTAAGCAATTGAAGTAAGACTACTACAAGAAGTATTGTAATGGTAATGATGCGCTACGTGTTGTGTATCCTCGCTCTCCTGCTCTCCTGTGCGTGTGTGCACGTCCTCGCTGAAGAAGTGCCTGCCGCCGATCTTTCCGACCAAGTCCCTGATACGGAGAGTGAGAGAAAGTGTCTTGATGCTCCTGAAGATACTGAAACTGCTGAACATCAGAAGAAATGCCCGGAAAAGACCAAATCTCCTCCTGAAAAAGTACCTGAGGTTCCTAAAGAGGTGGTTCCCGAGAAAAAAGTACCTGGTGCTGATGATGGCAATTGCCCTGAAGGTACTCAGCGTACTGAAGGTAAGACATGTCCTCAATCTGAAGTTCCTAAAGAAGTTGTTCCTGAGGAAAAAGTGCCATTTCCACCACCTGCTAGGGAACATGGAGTTCCTGAAGACCCAGAACCTGGGAACAGCAACAACAATGCACCAGGTGGCATTGAAGCAACACAACAGCAAAAACAACAACAAGACCAAACAGCTGATAATGTCTCTGCAGGTGCAGGTGAAAGTGGAAGTGGAGCAGGACAACCATCATCACCATCTACCAATACTTCAGCCACTGGTAGTGATGCTGCAAACGCTGGGAATGACAGTACAACAACGGGGAGTGAATCAACAAGTACCCAAAAAGGTGCTGCAGATAATACAGAAACCACCACCACTACAACAACAACAACAACAACAACAACACTTCCTCCTGAGCTTACAAACAACAAGAAGGGTGATGCAGACAGCAGCAGCAGTATCAGCAGTTCTGTGTGGGTGCGTGTACCACTACTGATTGTGGTTACACTGGCCTGTATTCTTGTGTGCTGATTGTGTGATGGTGGTGTGACTCAGGTCATCCTTTGTTTTCTTTTCTTTTTTTTGCATACATCCCTACAGTCTAACTAATCTTTCACCTGTTGGGATTATCTTCTTTTTTCGTTTCTTAATGTTAATGATATTGTTTCTTAATGTGTGTTTTGTGTGTTTATCCTATAATAATTATTATTGCTACTCCATTGTGTGTGTGTGTTCTTGGATACTCTCTCTGTGTGTGTGCACCTGGGCTTGCACTGTGATAATGATGATGAACTGCTTTTTATAGTGGGAAAAAGGAAATAATAATAACAGATGAATTTATATTTATAATTGCATATATACACATGTATAGACTTACACCCATAGTTGGTGTATATTTTTGTGTTTACTGGATAAATTGGGCTAATGGTTAATATCTGTTTGTTTGCTTTTTTTTGCCTTTTGGTTGTTTGGGATTTGTGTGCTTTGGCTGTAAAACCTGTGTAGGTAGTGTTCGTGCAGAGATAAGCATATGTTCCGATACACATTTATGTTTTTAATTACACATTAATTGAAGAGTATCCACAGTTTTCTGAATTACTTGTTTGATGATGCTGGGTGTTTACGTTCATTTATGTTTCTCTCTGTTTTAATGGATTTCATTTTTTAAGGTGTGCATTGATATTTATGCTGCTGTTGTTGTTTTGTATGACTGTTTGTTTTATTGTTGTTCTCTCTGTTGCCCTAAGGATATGTGTTTGTGGCTATTTTATTTTCGGTTTGTTTATTATTTTTTTTTTTTGTGCAGCTAAGATTCCCAAATTAAGTAAAAACAACTGCTGCTGTGATGCTGCTTCACCGAGTGTTGTATGTTGTGGCTTTGCTTTTGAGCATTATCTCTCTATGTGTGGCGGCTGATACTCACAGAGAGTCTTTACCTAAAGTTGCTGAAGGTGGTTGCAGTCCTGAAGCCGGTGAATCTGAAACGCCTACGTGTACTGGAATTGCTAAAGGTGAAACAGGCGAACAAGGTCCTTCTGGTCCTCCTGGTCCTGAGGGTATAAAAGGTGAAGCCGCCGCTTCTGGTCTTCAGGGTCCTGGTGCTGTTTCCGCTCATGGTACTGCGACCGACATTGAAGGTGATGGTCTCACTAGGGACATCAATAGAGCTGATTCGAATCACGTAGAAGGTAAGGACAGTAAAAATAGATTGGATGAGCATTCAGAAGTACATCAAAATGATAATCATCGGAATAGTGCAGTAATAATGGATCCACAAAAACAAAAACCCGACGCAGAACTCACTCATTCACCTCCCAAAACACAAAATGAGGAAACTGCTCTCTCACAGAGCAAAACTCCGACATTGCAGGAAACCATATCTGGAGATCCTGTAGTATCTCCATCGGAGGCAAACAATACTAACCGCGATACTGCAGAGAGTGTAAATACAGCTAACCAGAATGATCCAGCAACAGAATCCTCTTCTTCAACAGCGTCTGCGCAACCTCCTGCCACATCTTCAACACAGGAAACAGTGGGAACGAAACCTTCGGAAGCTGCAGATGTTGTGAATGACAGTACACCTCCAGGGAGGGAGCCATCAAGTAACCCAACTAATGAGGAATCAACCACCACCACCACCACAACAACAACACTTCCTCCTAAACTCACAAACAACAAGAAGGGTGATGCAGACAGCAGCAGCAGTATCAGCAGTTCTGTGTGGGTGCGTGTACCACTACTGATTGTGGTTACACTGGCCTGTATTCTTGTGTACTGATTGTAATGGTGGTGGTGGTGTGACTCAGGTCATCCTTTGTTTTCTTTCTCTTTTTTTGCATGCATCCCTACATTCTAATTAATCCTTCACCTGTTGGGATTATCTTCTTTTTTTTGTTTCTTAATGTTAATGTGTTTTGTGTGTGTTTTTGCTCTCTCTGTGTGTTTATCCTATAATTATTATTATTGCTACTCCATTGTGTGTGTGTGTGTGTGTGTGTTCTTGGAGACTCTCTCTGTGTGTGCACCTGGGCTTGCACTGTGATGATGATGATGAACTGCTTTTTGAAATGTGGGAAAATGAAAAAATAATAATAACAGATGAATTTATATTTATAATTGCTTGTATATACACATATATACTTATACCCATAGTTGGTGTATATTTCTGTGTTTACTGGGTACGTTGGGCTCAATGGTTAATATCTGTTTTTTTTCTTTTGTTTTGTCTTGTATTATTTTGCTGAGTTGTTTCTGCATAAGAAAAAAGTAACTGATACATATTTATTGTTAATTGCTTATGTACAAATACACATCACGGTCTCTGTGCTGTTTATGTGCAGTTGGTGGGTTTGTTGTCTGTGCTCGTAAACTGTTTATAATTTTTTTTGCTTGGGCTTTTTTGTGTGAGCTGCCTGTTTATTCGGGTTTTTATACTTTTTGTTGGTGTTCTTCTTGTGAGTGATTGTTGCTTGATTGTTGCATTCTTTCTTGTGTGTGTGTTTCTAATTTATTTTATTTATTGATCTTTAACAGTTTATATACCTACGCAAACAACAGAGGATTAAAGTTTGTCATGATGGTGCTGCGACACGTGTTGTGTTTTTTTGCTTTCCTGCTGAGTGTTGCCTCTCTCTGCACGTCCGCTAGCGGGGCTGCTGCAGCTGCTGAGGCTTCTCCTGAATCTCGTTGCCCTTCGGGTTCTTCTGAATCTGATTGTCCTTCTTCTTCTGCACCTGGTGTTCATACCCCTGGTGGTCTTGGTGTTAATCCTTCTGCTGATTCTACTACTTGCACTACTTCTTCTTGTGCTTCCACTGCTACATCGTGTACTACTCATCCAAATAATGCTGGGTCTCCTGAATGTGTTAGTGGTGATGTTCATGGTGACACCCAGCGGTTAAATCAAGGGGAAGAGCAAAGAATTACTGGTCCTGGTAGTAAAGGTGATACGGGTGGGAAAGGACCACGTGGGGATCCGGAAAAGCTGTTGGAGGAGGAGAAGGAGGAAGAGAAAGAAAAGGCCAATGAACGTCACGATAGTGTTGCACATGAGATGGGTGATGAAACTGGTAGACCTCAGGGCACTCTACAAACAGGAAAATCTGAAATTGCTACAAACTCTCCTTTACCTTCTTCTTCACCTCATGTACCTTCTGCCCAACATCCTGAACAACCGAGTGATGGTGGTGTTGCTACGCAGGATAGTAATCCCTCACGAGAAGATATCACACAACCTGAAGGTCCACAGAAGAATACAGAAGGAGAGAAGAAAGAAACTCAAAATGAACCACAACCCAATTCTTCCGATGGATCCAATACAACTGGTGCTGACAGTCAAGAAAACAGTGCTGCGACGGTTCAGGAACAGAACACTGCTGAACAGGAATCTCAACAACAAAACAACGATACAACTGAGAACAATAACTCAAACAGAACGAACTCTGACACTACCAATACACCCAATAAAGAGGAATTAACCACCACCACTACAACAACAACACTTCCTCCTGAACTCACAAATAACAAGAAGGGTGATGCTGACAGCAGCAGCAGTATCAGCAGTTCTGTGTGGGTGCGTGTGCCACTACTGATTGTGGTTACACTGGCCTGTATTCTTGTGTGCTGATTATAGTGGTGGTGTGATGGTGTGACTCAGGTCATCCTTTGTTTTCTTTTTTGCATGCAATCCCCTACAGTCTAACTAATCTTCCACCTGTTGGGATTCTTTTCTTTTTTTGTTTCTTAATGTTAATGTGTTTTGTGTGTTTTTACTATCTTTGTGTTTATCCTATAATAATTATTATTGCTACTACTCCATTGTGTGGTATTGTTTGTGTTCTTGGAGACTCTCTGTGTGTGGGCTTGTACTGTGATAATGATGATGAACTGCTTTTCTTTGCATTGAGAAAAAGAAAATAGTAATAACAGATGAATTTATATTTATAATTGCTTATATACATTTATATAGACTTGTACCCATAGTTGGTGTCTATTTCTGTGTGTTTAATGGGTAAATTGGGCTAATGGGTAATTTTTGTTTTGTTTTCATTATGTGCTTGGGCGTTGTGTGCTTTGTCATGCACTTTGTTGATGTCCTTTTTCGTGCTGATGGAAGGATTATCCGTGTTAAGCAAATATATTGATAATTGCACATTAACTCACACATAATCGTGGTTCACTGGGTTGTGTGTTTGAGGAGGCTGTTCGTTGTGCTATTAATTACTTTTTTTGCTTATTATTGTTATTGTGGTTGCTTTTTTGTTTAATTCTTTATTGAATTTTTTTTTGTTTTTGGTGTCAGTCCTATTGTTTATGACTCTTGCTATTCTTGTTTTGTTTTAATCTTTTGTTCTCTCTGATGTTTTGGATCGTTTACTTCTTTGCCGTTTTCTGTTCATCTTTTTGTTGCCAAGT